GTTCCAGCAAATAAAATACCATGATTGGGTTACTCCAGGCCTAGGAATATATCTCCCTTTTCCAACTGTATTTCCACTGCTGTTATGTAGATTGAAATTCAATATTTTCCTGAGTGTCATTCATTGTGCCTCTCTTTGTTTTTAGTTTGGTTTTATCATTTAACTGAAATAGACAATAGAACATAGAAGAAAGCTAAAACCGTAGTTACTTAAGCAGAATAGATTTGAGGACACTTAAATTGGCATAGGCCAAGACCCACATTAAAGTTTTTTTACAAATAGAAAAGTGGTTTGTGCAAATTCTGAATGTAAAGCCATTTGAACAAGGGCCAATTTGAAGTTTGCCACTGAAATTTATAAATCCTTTGGTAGGAAATTAATAACATTCCAACAATGCCCTACAAGAAATATTCTAATTACTAACAACACTAATGAATAAAAACTTTATTAGCACCCTTACGTTCTTATTTATGTAATTAACCTTAGGATTAAATTACATTAAACTAATTTCATAAAACTAATTCAAAAGATTATTTCAAATGTTCCTACTTATTTAATTCCTACTTATTTATTCCTACTTATTTCATTCCTACTTATTAATTCCTACTTATTTAATTATTTAATTACATAAAACTAATTCAAAAGATTATTTCAAATATTCCTACTTATTTATTAAAATAGGCCCTATAAAAGATCTGACTCTTAGATTCTAGATTAAACCAGGTCGAGTCCCTGAAAGAGCCTTCTATAAAGCTGTGACTCCCTATTCACTTCCCTATGACTGCTAATTTTACCATCCTTCCTTTCCATTTACCCTAACCTTCTTAGAGCAACAAAGTTTTATCTTCAAATAGTTACCACCTAAACATTGATACTGTTGTTACCTGAAAAATAAATGTGTCTACTAAATATTAGATTTTTAAGCTTGGTTTAGTTGGAAATAGCAATGTGCCATTAAAAATACTTTGTAATTCAAATAGCCATTAATTTGTATTGCTGCCTATCCTTTAGTTAATACTAGTTAGCTTTTTTTAATGCTAAAGATAAAAAAATTCATATCCCAATTTTAATTTTAAAGGATAATGATCAAATAAACCTTTCTTTCATTTGTAATTTTTTAACTTAGAAATGAAGCATGGCTTCTAAATTTTGGAAATATTACACCATCTATATTTACTAAGGTAGCCCACTTTGTTCTGCAAATTCAATACATATTTTCAGTGCTTGAAGAGGGTTCAATTCGGAAGGAAGAGTGGGATTTCAGTTAGAGCAGAAGAAACACCTGCTGTTAATCCCAAGTGCACAAGTGGGGGCTGGAGTGTCCGAAGCAGCCACTGCAGCTGTGCGTGGAGGTTGACCTCGGCTTTGCTTCTGTCCTAAGCTGGCAGGTGCCAGGACGCCATGCTGTCTGCTCGGAAACACTCTCTTTTGAGGCAGCAATATTTATTGCTCAATTGTGAATTCAAATTTTCATGTGTTCATGTGTTAAGCATCCTTGCTCAGGGCAAGCTGGCTAAAGAGTTCTAGTTGACACGTGGATTTGGCATGAGTACTTGGACTTTGAGGAAAAGCGTTGTCTCTGTTTCTCATTGTCAAATAACTTCACAAAACTTTGTCCTTAAAAATGCTGTGTAACCTAACAAGGTGCCTTTAGAGGACTGGTACTATGAGCGATGTGGCCTCTGAAATCTCATTGGCAAAAGCAAACAAAGGTTTAAAGAGAACCTGGAAAGGAGGTGGATATGGAGGCTGGGGCAGCATCCATAGTAGCAGTTGATCTTGATGTAGCTGGATTTTCTAGAGGTCATTGTTTCTTAATGCTAGTAAATGGAAACTGTTTGCCTTCAGCATTAGGCTATTTAGCTTCTCAGGTACAGGGACCATGTCTTTCTAAATCAGCCTTTCCCACCATATATGTCCTACCAGTGCTTACAATGTTGCCACTCTCTATACACATTCAACAAATGAGTGTAAAAATCAAAATAAACTTAACTAACATGCTACTTAAATCAAGACTAGAACCTCAATTGTATTTTTAAAATTTGGTAATAGATACCCTCTCATTATTCTTCACTTTGGCTTTCATCTGCCCCACCACAAATAAAAGCCTATTTGAATAACCTTAGCAAGCATTTCGCATGTGTTAAAAATAATTGAATAAAGTCTTTAAACTTAATTTTCTGATTGTACTCACTCATCATTACTTGATTCACTGAAAACAATAAGAACGTTAAACATTTATTGAAAACAAAAATAATTTTTTCTCTTCTTTTAAATGGCAAAATGATTTGTGGGGTAAGAGATAAAAAGGTTTTATAAAGCTGATTCCATCATCTTGGTCCCTCCCTGCCCCCACTCCTCCTCAATTCCTCTTTCTCTCATTTTGAACTTGAGACATTGGGACCAGTGTCTATGACACTGTGGAAATGTAGTGAGGAAGCATTTTAGATGGCCCTGTTGAAGGCAGCCACCAGATAGGTATCCCTCTTTCTGAGAATTTAGGTCCAGAGCTGGATTCCAATACTTTGTGTCAAAACCTCTACATTTAAAGTCACATATACTGGGTTGAAGTCCTGGCTAACTCACAAGAAGCCTAATACTGATAAGCTTTGAGTTTCATTTTGGCATCTATGAAAGGATTATCATAATACTTTCCTCATTGGATTGCGGAAAAGATTGAATGCAACAGGTGAAAAAGTTTTTTTGTTGATGGTAAAAGATATAAAGTATAGGGCATGATGTGGTTATTACTGATTTTATGATAATTTCACAGCTGTTACCAGAGGGCCACACTGAGAATGGGAATCTGGTGCAGTTCTCTGTAGCTGGTACTTAGCAGGAGGAAATGTTTTAGAAGGTGGAGCATTGGTACATTCCCACCTGCAGTGACATAGCAGTCTCTACTGGCACCTAGGATGGGGTACTGTGCTAGAATCTGGGCCTGTTTTCTGTCTAGCCTAGTCCTTGTTCCCCAGCCCTGCTGAAAATGGAGATCAGAGATAGAAAGTGACTCCAAAATGCTCCAGCTCCTCAAGTGGGCACATGACTTTATCTTTAAGAGCTAGAAAAGATAACATAACCAGTGCCTCTAGAATTGGTATTTCCTGCTAGTATTTCTGTCTGAAGGTAAAGAAACTCTCAATGAGGCTCAGAAATAGGCAGCTGTCCCCCAAAAAAGAAATTCCTGTAAAGAGCCACATATATAGGGTCACTTAACTTATGACAAAGGTAATAATGTATATAATGGGGAAAAGATACATTTTCAAGAAATGTTGTCTGGTTAATTTGATATTCACATTTTTAAAAAGCATCTTGACTTTTATCTCACATCATTTACAAAATCAATTCTTAATAAATTCAGATTTAAATATGAAAGATAAAATAATAAAGCTTTTAGCTTTTAAAATAAACATAGAAAGCCCTATTTATGACACTGAAGTAGGCAAAGATTTCTTAAGTAGAATATAAAAAGGGACAACTGTAAAGAATAAACAGTGTTAAATTGAGGTTTCTTAAAATTAAGAACTCAGAGGTATTCATCAAAAACACCTCTAAGAGAATGTAAAGGCAGTAAACAAAGTGGGAAAATATATTTACAGTAAATATATCTGACAAAAGACTCATTCAAAAATATATAAATAACTCTACATCTACCTATATACATATGTACAATGTATAATATACAATAGATAAAGAACTCCAGCAAATCAACAGGACAATTCAGTAAGCCAAGGGCAAAAGGTATAAAGAGACACTTTATGAAAAAGGATGCAAAAAGGGCCAATACATGTATTAAAAGGGGGTTCAATTTACTAATCACTGGGGAAATACATATTAAAACATGATGTGAAATTACCATATCTCTACGAGAATGCCTAAAATTAAAAAGATAGAAAATATCAAATATTGGTGATATGGGGCAACTTAATTCCATACATTGCTGATGTGGCTTAAATTGTAAGAATCGCTTTGAAAAACCATTTGGCAGCATCTACTAAAACTGAGCATTTGTATAATCTATAACCTAACAGTTCCTTTTCTGGACATACATCCAACAGAAATGCATGTAATTTTTCACAAAGAACATGAATTACTGTGTTCATAGCACCTTTTTTTGGGAGTCTTGCTCTGTTGCCCAGGCTGTAGTATAGTGACGTAATAGCTCACTGCAACCTCTGCCTCCCGAGTTCAAGTGATTCTCCTGTCTCAGCCTCTCAAGTAGCTGGGATCACAGGTGTCCACCACCACTCCCAGCTAATTTTTGTATTTTTAATAGAGATGGGGTTTCAGCATATTGGCCAGGCTGATGTTGAACTTCTGACCTTAGGTGATCCACCCACCTTGGCCTCCCTAAGTGCTGGGATTACAGGCGTGAGCCACTGTGCCTGGCCATAGCAGTATTTTTTATAATAGTCAAGACCTAGAAAATCCTGGAAACGAATGGCAGCCAATAGTAGAATGAATAAATAAATGATGATATAATCATACAATGGAGTATCATAAAGCAGTAAGAGCAACCTACAATGACACCCAAAATTATGGATGAATTTCACACTAATTAAGCAAAAGCGGCCAGACTCTGTGAGTTTATGTCCATAAAGTACAAAAACAGGCAAGCTAATCTATATTGTCAGAGGTCAGAATAGAAGTTACTGTTGGTAGAGGGTAGTGACAAGGAAATATCCCAACAGGAGCTTCTAACTTGTGGGCAATGTTCGCTTTCTTTAACTGGGTTCTACTTGCATGCATATGTTGAATTTGTGAAAATTTAGCACATTATGTACTTATGACATGATATATGCAGGTATATATGCACAAACATATATGGTTATATGTTTCACATTCGAATATGATTATAGTTTAGAAACTAAAATTTCTTGAGAAACCTCATTGACAGCTATCTATGTATTCTTTGAATGAATCTTTCCATTAATGTGGCTGATCTATTCAGTTTACAAGATCTTTTCTTTTTATTAATTTTTTTTTCTCTTTTTTTTCAGGGCCCTCCTGGTCCTAAAGGTGACAAGGTAGGAAAATGCATAGCAGAAATAAATAAAGTTAGTGGAGATCCATATTGGCATGAGCTATACTGTATTACATTTTGATCTTTTTAAGGAACCTTATGTATACATTTTAGCTAAAATTGTCATCTCACCGTTCTATTCTACAGGGAGAACAAGGTGATCAGGGACCTCGGGTAAGTTGTGCTCTACCTATCCTGGGCAGAAACTTAGTTTCTAAATGCAAGTTTATTGAATGAAACTAGCCCAGCTTCATACTTGCCTTTGTTCCACATGATTCGGTAATGGCTGGCAAAAATTCCATACCTCTTGTAAGTGAAAACACCTAATTAACTAATTGCATGTATTCTGTTGCAGTATCTTTACTTGATTCCTATAAATAGAAAATTCTGCAATAATTAGACATACTGAGTAAGGGTCAGAATCACTTCCAATTATCAACAGCAGCCACCTTTCCAGTGACTATTGGGTCCTTCAGATTTGCATGAATTGTTTCGCAATACAGAGGCCATATGGATTTCTGTTGAATTTGGCCTTTTGCTACGTTAAACTTTACGTGCTCTTGCATAAATATGTTTTTTATAGATAAAATTATCAATGCATTTTACATATATGTTCTTTGGCATAAGTTTGAATAATGCTTAGTTGAATTTCTAGTTTTTATAGATTTTTAAGCAGATAAAAGGTGTAATACAATTTAGCATTTCAGGATGGAGGGAACATTCTTTTAAGCTTCTCAGATATGGCCCTTGTAACCATTATAACACAATGGTGAATGCTTTGTTGTTACCTTGGTAGTGCCAAGTCCTCTACTTCACATCTGTGCCTTATTACCCAAATGTTCAGACATACTGTTTCAATGATGTAGTGGCTCCGTTCAACATACCTCTCAATTTTCTCATGTCACTATGCACAAAAGCAAGTATTTGGTTGAATAGAGTAATTTTTTACAGTGTAAAGGCTTATTTAGAACTTTCAGGTTGAAAACAAACTATGTAGGTCTTTCTGTGAAACTGACTGTACTTAGTTACTTATTAAATGCATTTATACTGCATAGAGATTTTTTGCAAAAGATGCAGTTGATGCAAACTTGAAAGGTTTGTAGTCATATTATCTCCTCATGTTTCTTAGAGAAAAGTTATGCTATGATTTCTTATACTTTCCCTTTTGTTCTTCAGCCACTTCTTCATATGGAAATACTGATTATGCTTCACAGCATTTTATTTCTCATGGCAGTTACTCTGGCTGATGACTAGCTTCAAGCCGAAAGCTCATTTTAGGAGATTAAACACGACATTATCTACTGTGATGGATATGAATAAAATAAAACTCTCATAACCTTAAGTGATTAGAATACAGCCATTTGGTCTATACGTGGTGATTATTTCACATGACATGTCTCCTCATATCGAGTATCATTTCTTTCTACACGCAGTATCAAAATCACTCAATTTACCCTTTCCAGGTAAGAGGGAAACTGTTTCCATTCTGAGAAATCTTCTTTTGGCAAAGGAAGTAAAGAGTGGTTCACAGCTTAGCTGTCATCAGTATGCATGCAGTCCTCATTTTCAAAAAGGTGTGTTGGCTTTCATCATTACAAAGAGTGATGATTGATTATAAAGCTAGGCCAAATTTTCAAGATGAAACCTGAAACCATCTGAAATTCACCTGGTTTCGTGTTGCATTACAAACTAAGACTTGGACCAGTTTCCTTGAAAGTTTGGCCAAAGTTCATGAACTACTTTGACAAACCCAGACTGCCTTTCATACAGATTTCAGCCAGTTTTCACACTGAATGGGGCCAGGTTTCACTCAGTTCAGAGCCCATTTAGCATTTCAGGTGGAAAGTGGCAAAAACTGATCTCATTTTTCTCTGTATTTTGCTTTGTGTTGAAGGAATTTGGATTGAATTCCTAATGAAGGATGAATCTTCATGGGTATGAATCTAAATGTCCTGGAAGATACAGGTGAAAGAGAACAAGAACCCACTGACCTGCTTGTCTTTTCTCCGATTCCAAGCAGGTCTCACTCAGTGCTCTTAGAATTTTATAAACATTACCACTGCGTAACATAGTATTAGCTACAAATTAGGAACTTCATCATATCAAGATTGTAAGATGAAGGTTCTATATTTAGAAAAAAAATCAAAAGTAAGAACTGGAAACATTTCCAATTAAAATTAATGAAAATTAATTTTACCCACATTCTCTATTTAGGCACAGTGTTTTAGCTGATGATGACCAAAGGCTCTTTTTTTAAATGTAGATTTTTGTATTTGAATACCCTGTCCATTTTCATCCTATTGCAGATTTTAAATTATGCTTTTTTTACCATGTTTCCAATAGTTTATTTCTTTCCATGATTAACAATATGAACTCCAAACCCCATCATGTCAGCTCTTAGTTAGGTGAATTTCCGTTATGAGACCTATACCATTTCCTTGAATATTTGGAAGTTTTATCTCTGATTCCCCAAGTGTCCAGTGGGAATAAATTAAGCCATAAGAGATAAATCAAAGCAGGAAAAACTTGAATATCATACAGAAATTAAGAATGTGAGACTATTTTTAAGTACTTGGACATATATTCAGCAGTATATATTGAGCAGTTACCACCTTTAAGATACTATGCTTAACCCTATAGACACAATAAATGTGTCCACTTATTTCTCTCTTCTCCTAACCACCAAATTCAACCTACTTTCATGTTCTTGATTACTCCAGTGGCTTTCCAATTAATCTTTGTATTTCCACCCTTAACCCTGTATAACCCTACACAGCAGGCAGAGAGATCACTTTACATTGTAAACTAGATCATGTTACTTCTGTGTAAAACGTTAGAATGAAATCCAACCTACTGTGCTTAGCTCTTGCCCATCCCTACCAGCTCATCTCACACTAGTCTCCTCTCCACCTGCGACACTCCGGCTATACTGTCCTCCATGTGATTTTCAGACACACTACACTTTCACCCAACTCGATAACTTCTCATTTGCCCTCTTCTGGTCTTCTTGTGATTGGATTCTTCTTATCATTGAGATTTCATCTCAAATATCACCTTCTCTGAGAGAACTTGTCTAACTACTCAATCTAAACCAGAGATTATTCTATCTTGTCCAGGTATTCACTTGTTCATTATCTATAAAATATGTCCCTCGGGCCGGGCGTGGTGGCTCACGCCTGTAATCCCAGCACTTTGGGAGGCCGAGGCGGGTGAATCACGAGGTCAAGAGATCGAGACCATCCTGGTCAACATGGTGAAACCCCATCTCTACTAAAAATACAAAAAATTAGCTGGGCATGGTGGCGCGTGTCTGTAATCCCAGCTACTCAGGAGGCTGAGGCAGGAGAATTGCCTGAACCCAGGAGGCAGAGGTTGCGGTGAGCCGAGATCGCGCCATTGCACTCCAGCCTGGGTAACGAGAGCGAAACTCCATCTCAAAAAAAAAAAAAAGTCCCTCCCTCCTTAGATCCTATATTCCATGAAAGCAAGGTTCTGCTCTGTCTTGTTCATACCACCTTCACATGGAATAGTGAAGATTCAGTAAATATTTGTTGAATGTATGATAAAATATTATTATATCATTATGGCTTTCAAGAGGCTGATAATTTCATGAGTACCGGAATAAGGAAACTGTGTGGTTATATGTTATCTGCTTCAAATAGATATACCAAAAGGTGCTAGAAAAGTGAAATTCTTTCATTTTAAATGAGCACTGGCAACTGTGGAAGAGGTGACACTTGAGCTAGGACTTGATAAATGGGTAATTTTTAGAGGATATGGTGACGAGCAAAACATTACACATTGCAGGAAGAGGAACTAGTATAAATATTATCCAGGTAGACAATGGCAGAATTTAGTTAAGAAACAATAATATTCCATTTGTGATTAAAGAAAATGTGGTATATACAATGCAATACTATTTAGCCTTAAAAAGAAGGGAATCTTGTCATTTGCAACAACCTGGATGAACCCGAAGGACATTATGTTAAGTAAAATAAGGCAGGCACAGAAAGATAAATAATGGCATGATCTCACTTACATGTGGAATTTTTGAAAGCTGAATACATAGGAGGAGAGCATTTAATGGTGGTGACCCAGGGCTGGTGGGGAAGGGTTTTGGGAGATATTAGTCAAAGGATACAAACTTTCAGTTCGTTAAGAGGAATAAGTTCAAGAGGTCTGCTGTACAGCATGGTGACCACAGTTAAAAACAATATAGTGTATTCTTGAAAATTGCTGAGAGTACATTGTGTTCTCACCAAAAAAGATAAGAATGTGAGGTAATACAAATGTTAATTAGCCTGATATAGCCATTCCATGATGTATACATATTTCAAAACAACATGTATATGTATAACAAAATATGTATAATTTGTATTTGTCAATTAAAAGTAAATTTTAAGGCTGGGTGCGGTGGCTCATGCCTATAATCCCAGCACTTTGGAAGGCCGAGGCAGGCAGATCACGAGGTCAGGAGATCGAGACCATCTGGCCATGGTGAAACCCCATCTCTACTAAAAAAAAACCAAAAAATTAGCTGGGCATAGTAGCATGCACCTGTAGTCCCGGCTACTCAGGAGACTGAGACAGCAGAATCGCTTGTATCTGGGAGACAGAGGTTGCACTGAGCTGGCATCCTGCCACTGCACTCCAGCCTGGTGAAAGAGCAAGACTCCATCTCAAAAAAAGGAGTAAGTTTTAAAAAAGACCCTCAAAAATAATATTCCATTTGCCAATAAATAGGTTAAGTAAAAAATTGTATCATATAGACTGAAAATTTTGGATTGAAGTTATATTATGGAGCATTTTGAATGTCTAGTGTGGTAGGCATTAGAGAGCCATTGAGAAGTTTGAGTAATCTCTGCTTATCTTATTTTGAGACTATCTGTACTTTTTACCAAATGTTCTTTATAAAAATATTTTTGAGGCTGGACATGGTGGCTCACAGCTGTAATCCTAGCACATTGGGAGGCTGAGGTGGGCGGATCACCTGAGGTTAGGAGTTCAAGAGCAACCTGGCCAACATGGTGAAACTCTGTCTTCACTAAAAATACAAAGATTAGCCAGGTGTGGTAGTGGGTGCCTATAATCCCAGCTACTCTGGAGGCTGAGGCAAGAGAATCACTTGAACCTGGAAGGCAAAGGTTGTGGTGATCCGAGATCGCACCATTGCA